TGACATTTGGGGTGTGACACTCAGGGGTGGCATTCAGGGGTGACACTCAGGGTGTGACATTTGGGGTGTGGCACTCACAGTATGACATTCAGGGTGGCACTCAGGGGTGTGACAGGGGTGTGGCACAGGAGTGTGACATTTGGGGTGTGACACTCAGGGGTGACACTCAGAGGTGTGACAGGGGTGTGGCTCTCAGGGGGTGTGACACTCGGGGTGTGACACTCAGGGTGTGACACTCGGGGTGTGACATTCAGGGGTGGCACTCAGGAGGTGACATTTGGGGCCATGGCACTCACAGTGTGACATTTGGGGTGGCACTCAGGGGGTGACAGGGGTGTGACACTCAGGGGTGTGGCACTCAGGGGTGTGACACTCAGGGGTGTGACACTCAGGGGTGACACTCAGAGGTGTGGCAGGGGTGTGGCACAGGAGTGTGACATTCAGGGGTGACACTCAGGGGTGGCATTCAGGGGTGTGACAGGGGTGTGGCTCTCAGGGGGTGTGACACTCGGGGTGTGACACTCAGGGTGTGACACTTGGGGTATGACATTCAGGGGTGGCACTCAGGAGGTGACATTTGGGGCCATGGCACTCACAGTGTGACATTTGAGGTGGCACTCAGGGGGTGTCAGGGTGTGACATTTGGGGTGTGACACTCAGGGGTGACACTCAGAGGTGTGACAGGGGTGTGGCTCTCAGGGGGTGTGACACTCAGGGTGTGACACTCGGGGTGTGACATTCAGGGTGTGACATTCAGGGGTGTGGCATTCAGGGGTGGCACTCAGGAGGTGACATTTGGGGCCGTGGCACTCAAGGGGTGACACTCAGGGGTGTGACATTCAGGGGTGGCACTCGGGGGTGGCACTCGGGGGTGGCACTCGGGGGTGGCACTCAGGGGTGTGACATTCAGGTGTGACACTCGGGGTGGCACTCAGGGGGTGACACAGGTGTGACAGTCAGGGGTGTGACATCAAGGGGTGACACTCAGGGGTGTGACAGGGGTGTGACATTCAGGGGTGTGACATTCAGGGGTGTGACATTCAGGGGTGGCACTCAGGGGTTCACTCGGGGGTGGCACTCGGGGGTGGCACTCAGGGGTGTGACATTCAGGTGTGACACTCAGGGGTGTGACACTCAGGGGTGTGACATTCAGGGGTGGCACTGTCCCCTCACCTCGATGGTGCTGTCCAGGGACCCCACGCTGTTCCGCCGGCCCCGCTTGCCTGGGGGGGGGGGGGGAGGG